TTGTATACAGATTGCAATGTGCAGTCGGTAAAAATATGAATTACCTATATAAAATAATTTGTCATTTGTCATCAATTGTAAGAGAATATCAGAGAATTTCGCTAACAGGGATGTAATAATAATAATAATCAAATTTTTTCATTGTTAGTTAGTGTTTCCATGTTTTTAACTTTTAGGATTAACATCTCTTCATTTTCCGTAATAATATATGAAGAATCATTTTAAATTCTATATTTACATATTGTGGAAGGTGTTTAATAATTTCACAAACATATCTATTGGTAGCGTGGCCGAGCGGTCTAAGGCGCTGGTTTAAGGCACCAGTCTCTTCGGAGGCGTGGGTTCGAATCCCACCGCTGCCATAATTTTTTTCTATTTCAATAATTCATCACAGTATAATTTTATTACATTATATTTAATTCTAGTAGTAATAGTAGTATCAGATTTTTTTGTAATTAATGAATAAACGAATAAAATTTACAAACACAAATAAATGGTAATACAATTATTTTGAGGTTATATTTAATAATAGATCATATAATCATACAAATGACATGATTATATCAGTTTACCAGATATGATAGTTTTTGAAAAATAACTGAATAATGTAATATAGCACATTTTAGAATATGATTATTACCTTTATAAGTATTACTCCTGTCATAGATAAAAAGATATTACTAATAACTTGGTCCATGAGAATAACAAGTGCTAACAACGCAAAATAACATAGGATAAAGTTCATAACATGGTAAATGATAATTATGTCTTTAATATTCTGTGTTTAGTGGATGGATAAGATAAAAATTGTACTATTATTCTTATATCTGCGCGCCTGCTATTTCGCAATATTATGAAATAGGAATATAATTGGTATTGCTATTATTTTTCTACAGGCGCCAAAATATTTTTATTTTCTTTTTTAATACATAAGCATTATAAAAATATTTTAAATTATATTTAGAAATATATTAATTATTAATTACTTTTTATAAAAACTATATATATTCGTTTTTAAAATTATACCTATTTTTCAAAAGTGAATATCAAATCTATACTTGTAAATATAAACACTAAGAAAATATTTGGGTATCACATAATAGTTACCAAGTCAATTTTTTACTATGCATTTTATTATAATGCTATGTAATAAAGTTATTTAATGTTATCAAATATACTATTTCTGAATGGGTTAAAACATTTTATACACGTGTACCTCTATATAAAGTATCTACTACGTGAAGTTGTCCATCCGATATATATACAGCGACGCTATAGTACGTAGACAATACAAAGATATACCACGTGGTACTGAGTAGTCGTACTAGACATTCACGCATCTCTATCGATTTTTTAATCCCAACACTAGTACGTTACGCACAAATCTTTATTTATCTAGGAAATAATAACAAAATAAATCTATTTCAGTGCAGTACAAAATAAAAACTACACACAACATCCACTATCACTTTTCTAGAACAAGCACATTTGAATGCATTTGCACTTGGAAAATTAAAAAAAAACACTACTCTATCATCTAAACACTATTTCGTAACATTTCGCCGATTTTTTACACACTCACCATTACATGGTCGAATTTGTATTCCGTCCGCGCACTGTTATAGCTGACGTCAAACTGCCGTCGTCTTTGGATTTTCGGAGACGCAGACATTCGATTTTTGAAAACAGCTGACCCCACTGTAACCTAAACTAGCTTGTTGAATAAGCACGTATAGAATCGGAGTTCTTGTTAACTGGACGCTCACGGCCTAAAGTCAAAGGTCACTGCCGCGCAATAATTCGAAATTCGAAAATAAAGATTCGCGCGCCGGTAAAGCGGTTTTATTTGTTGATAAATTAATTAAAATAGGTGAGATATTTATATAAATGACTGTAAATATACAATTTCCATTTCATTCCAACATAAAGAGTATTTCGCCATTTTATGTGGCAGCAGCGGAATACGCAGCGTAACGCGCATGCGTCAATTTAATCGGGGTTATACATTATTAGATTTGAAATATTAGCTATAGGCATTCTAATACTATTATATAAGTCTTGGGGGAAAGTGATCGTTAGTGATATCAGGTTGACCTCCACGCTGTTTCCCCCCGGAAACCAATATGGCTAATTCCCGGTGAATTGTCTATGACCAACTTGACTTCAACCTCATCCCATCACCCTTAACTAGTGTCTCCTCAAGCGTTGCCATTAAGGAAGACTAATAAAGTTAGGCCCTGTAATTTCACGTACTAAGGATGACGGATGTTCGAGATGCTTATTTTTCGATTAGCATTCATTTTGACTTTTATTTATTTCGGCACATTCTTTCCTCATATAATGTTTAATATTAGGGTATTAATACTCACAAATAATATAATTCTTGAGCAAGGATATATCTAGATATCCTTCTTCAATACATATTTTATTGATCACAGAGAATAGAAGAGAATATTCTATATAATATGAATTGACACTGAATCAATTTCATCCAACGGTAAAAATAACAATTAGTAATTTATTATAATTATTTAATACTTAATTAAATAATTATAATGGTATGTTATATTTTCCTATTTATTGTTAACTAGGTAGGTATGTAAATAGACAAGAAAAAAATTAAACAATTATCAAATAATAATTAGATGATTATTATAGTTTTGATAAAAGTTGACCATGCTTGTCAATAGATGGCGTAAAACCTAATTTGTAATTTTATATGAACATCAGTTTTATTATAACAAAACTATTTACAATATTGGTTATGTAAAAGACGACGTTACCTATGACCATTGTCAGACAAGGAAACAAACATCTAATAATCGCACTCTGAGAGCGCACTATTTCAAAATCATAAGAGAACAATTCTTGACCTACTTGTTCGTCTCGAGCCAAACTCAATTTGCTGGGCTTGCGTAAACTGAAATGAAAGGTATGGCTAATTCATGCCGTAGAGGCTTTTAGATCATTGTAATACCAATATAATGCACTGTAAGCAATATTATAGTCCGTAAACAGCGAAGTGCAAGGAAAAAACAATCTATATGAGTATTATTTACCAATCATTCAATAGAAAAAAATATGTGTATAAATTGGATTACATATTTTTTTGCCAACTATTCTAATATTGTTGGCCGTAATTGACTTTTACAGCTTTATGGGGCGAAAATAGGGGCAGGGGAAGTCAGTTCGTCTGTGGGCAGCACTAGGTTGAATCCCGATTTTAAGGAGACAGCGTGTAGATCGGCAGGGTAAATTAATTTTATTAGTATATAGCAATTATATGTATTGCTTCTTGGCTACAGAAATAGATAACGCATACTATTTAACGGTTACTATTTAGCAATTATTTTAACTGTGCTCTATATACTAATAACAGTCATTTGAAACAATTGATTGCAATCGACAGATTTTCCACAGTAGAACACGTGACTGACATACAAACACTGCTTGTTTGTAAAATGAAAACTATTAGGAATTGCATTACACAATTAAAAAAAAATATATATAAGGTGGGTACTTTTTTTTTTAAGGATGATAATGAAATGCTGGACCGCCTGCGCTAACGGTTAACGCTGGCGGGACATTAGTGGAGGATGATACGATGAGCATGAGTCAGGCCAGTTAGCCCATCGTGACAAATTCACCAAAAATTTACCACCGACCGTTAATTGGGATGACGTTTCTTCCAAAATATCAATCCAAAAAATATCATAGCACTTTATTCCACCTCAAGCGCCATGGTCGGGTGGATGGTGGGAGCGTATGGTTCGTACTATAAAAGAAATTTTGAGGAGAGTTTTAGGCAAAGCTGCTCTGTTAGAAAAAGAATTGTTTACTGTACTTTGCGAAACAGAAGCTGTCATTAATTCACGTCCTCTGACTTATATAGTAGATAGTACTGAAAATTTTAAAGCTCTCACTCCAGCTCTGTTTCTTAAGGTAGGCAATACTTCTACGTTTGATTTAAACCAAGTTAAATCACCTAACCTTACTACTCGTTATAGTTATATCGAAAAAATTAATACAGATCTACAACAAAGATTACGGTTAGAATATTTATCTTTACTAGTACAAAAGAACACTAAAAACGAGAACAATCTTCAACCTTGTGATATCGTGCTTATAGGTTCAGATGATTTGAAGCGCGTTAACTGGCCTTTAGGTCTCATTTTAGAGATATGTTTAGGTGTTGATAATGTCGGTAGGGTAGCACGTGTTAAAACAGCAAAGGGTGAACGTGTTCGTGCAACGTTTATTTCCTTTAGAGTTACCGAGGTTAGAGAGTATTCAGTTTCCACAGTCATCAGGGTCAAATGATAAAGTCGCAGATCCCGCTCTTGAGCCCAACAATCTTTTAACAAAGACAACACGTTCTGGTCGTCCTGTGAAACTGCCTCGACGTCTAAACCTGTGATTTATTTTTATTTTATTGTTGTTCTTTAGCATTGCGCACACGCAAGGTGGGGTGTATGTTATGAAACCTCTTTTTAGTTTAATTTTTATATTTAAAAAGTAATGTATTATAAAATTATTATTGCAAAAAAGTGACATTATATTTTTCTTTCGGAATTTCCTAAAATATTTTATTTCTATATATAAATCCACTCATCCTGAGTACCTGCTGTCCCAGAACCTATTATCATATATCATATATCACAACATCATCGAATTATCCAATCCATCACATTATGGCAGATGTTACAATTTTACTGGTTAGTAATTTCATATCTATTTTTTTATCCTTTTATAATATTATTCATTAGCAACAAGTAGATATATTTGTTGTAATTGTCTATACTATATAATCTGTGGTGCACTATTCACAATTAGTGTCAGATGTAAATGTCAATAGAATTGTCACTTTGACGTGAACTGATAATCCAAAATCCTAACATCTTAACGGCCGCGCACACTACTTTAAAAATTATTTTATAATAAATTTTATTATTACAAACCGTAAATCATTCGCACCTTCTTCTATTACAAAAATCATAAAAATGGAGAGAAAAAATGTGCGGAATAATCAGAAGAATCGTAAGTAGAATAGTTGAAATATTTCCGGTTTATAAGAGAAGATTGATTGTCCGTTCAAATTAAATATTATTTGTTCTCAAATATTCTCTAGTATATTTACCATTCCCAAATGAATGATAGGTATCGATATGTTCTCACATGGCTTGAAAGATTTCGGCGGGAAAAGTACAATTTGTAAGGTTTAATGTTACTATTTCCTTTCTCCTGTGACTGCTACGGCGCCTTATAAAAATAATAAAATCGTTTCCAGTTCTTCTTCAGATCGAAATCATGCTTCTTTAATTTAGAACCTCTTAATGTAGAATCTTCAGATCAGGACTATCAATTATAATCTAATAATGTTGTGTTTAATATAATTAAGTTCACAGAGAAGTGTACAAAAATGTTAAAATGTATAACACACTTTTCAACCTCCACTGGTACACTGCCAGCATATACTGTTTACATTACATCCATTTAAAAAAAAATACCATGTAATTTCAGGATTTCTTAAGCTTTCTCTAAAGAAGAACAGATTGAAGATAGATCAAGAGATGAAACTCAATCGTAGTTCTGATGTAATCATTCTTGACGAGTCTTTTGATAGATTGAAATTAGATTTACATAATAATGTAAGTACACTATTCATTATTCCACCTGATTTGAAACTTGTTCATAATACTTATATGTAAAGATATAGGCCTTAAATAATAGTAGTTAGTGGCATCTTGCTATGGCATGCACTGAGCAGAGACCATTTTGATTCTGTGTGTATCAAATAAACATATTTTCTTTCTTTTTTATTAATTCCAGGACACCAAAAAATTACTTCAATCACAATATTAGAGGTCTTGATCAAAGGTCACAATATAATATTCAAAATTTTGCAGTATAATATTTATTTATTTATTTATTGAAACATATATAAACAGTACAACAAAGCTGATCATACAATCCCACACTAGGCAAACCTTTATTGTTGTTATAGGTAACAATATTAGGTGTTTTCTATTTATATTAATCACTAAATGTGTCTGTGGTTTTACCTGCATGAAATTTATAGCCTATATGTTATTCTGATGTATAAGCTATATTACTGTAAAGTTTCATCAAAATCCATTCAGTAGTTTATGTGTGAAATAGTAACAAACATATTAATAAGATTACAGATTAGTGACTAGATTAGATTTGACATATCATAAGAATCTGCAACAGACCCAGGGGTCCTGGGTATAATTACTTTTTACATGAACAATTTTTTGCAATTCCCACAATCCCTTGTTTTACAATGTCAGACATTGTCAACCCCCCACTCCCCCTTAATATGTGGTGTGACATCATGTGATAGACAGTCTCTCTTATCACAGTAAATAACCCTCTTATAGAGTGTATAAAAACAGAAGATTTGTAATTACAGGTGCAGAGGACGCCAATAATTTATTCACCAATCGTCATAAATGATTCCTGTGAATCCACCAATGAAAGTCTACCAAAAATAATTACTTCTGATAATCAAGATGGAACACCAAGTAAGAATGGGAATGTAAGTATTACCAAAGTGTTATATATCAGAATTAGAGCAATATCTTATAACATGTTCACAATGCCCATCATACTTGCCCTCTTGAAGCCTTTAAATGATGTAGGAACAATTGTCACGAAGACGAAACTATAGTAAGTTCATGAAATTACAGAACATATATATATGTACAGGAATTTCATGAACATACTATGTTCGTTCGTATGTATATACTAGCTTTTGCCCGCTGCTTCGCTCGCGTTAATTTATCCCCTTAGGGGTGGAATTTATCAAAATCTTTTCCTAGAGGATGCCTACGTCATAGTAGCTTTATGCATGCAAAGTCTCAATCCGATTGCTTTAAAATTGACAAAGTTTCATACAAACTTTCACCCCCTATTTTATCCCCTTGGGGGTAGAATTAATCAAAATCCTTTCTTAGCAGACGCCTACGTCATAACATCTACCTGTATGCCAAATTTCAGCCCGATCTGTCCAGTGGTTTGGGCTGTGCGTTGATAGATCACTATGACAGTCACCTTTGAGTTATATATATTTAGATATGGGTGACCTATATAGTTTGATGGCTGCAGTGATTTAGTGGTTTAGCACGCCGTCTTACTCACAACTAAGACACTCTTTGTCTTATTTATAAAAGTTGTTAAGCTTAATTTTTGTAAACGAAATTTGTTACAGGTATCATTTAATTGTTCCAAAGAGGATACTTCTTTGTCAAAGACAAAAGATGCTAGACCCAGTATTGGAGGTTGGTCTCCAGCTCAAAATATTATATCTGCTTCACCCAGGTATGAAACAGTGCCTTCAACACCTCATGACATAGCCAATGAATCTCTAGAACAATGTTCTATAAAAAAAATACAACAATCACAGAAGAAACTATTGGATGATCTATATGGCGAAACTTGGAAATCAATTCCCAAACTTTTTAAAACTATATCACATAACTATCCCAAAATGAATGGTATTTCTAAAAAACTACAGTATGATGATGATGATAGCGACAAGGAAAATATTAGAAACGATTTGGAAAAGAACAGACAGTTATATTTAACTGGTTCTGATGTAAAGCGGAAAGTTATGAATTATGGGGACACAGAAAAAAAATCAAAAAAAAAATTATATACAGAAAAAGTACCAGATACACCAGATATCCCAAGAACGAAGGTTGTAAGACCTCGTAATGTGAACAGTACAACGAAAAAAACGAAGGCTATGTCTGTAACCGAATTAGTGGAGATCATGAGGAAGGGTGATGTTGACAAGAATGATGTGAGCTTGTTGACGAAGAAGGTTGAAGATATTTCTGTGACTCCGAAAATTTTTATGAAGAAAATTGACAATGTATCTGCTACCCCTCATACAGAAGTGAAAAGATTAAGTTTTGTTGGCTCTCTAGCTGGTGAGTAGTTTTATTTATTAACGGTTTTTTCAATGGATAATAAAGTGTGTGATAATGGAAATGTGTGAGCCTGTGCTGACGGTTTACGCTGGCGGGGCACCAGTGGAAGTTGATAAGATGAGCACGAGGTCAAGCCAGTTAGCCCAGTGGCAAATTCATCAGGAACTTATCGTGATAGTTCCAGGGTGAACTAGGTGGAGGTCAACCTGACACAGTTACATCATGACATACATACATTGCTAGAAATGGGGTTATTAGTCCACATTACTAACAATCAAATCAAATCTATAGCTGAAAATCAGTGTTTGCTCTTTGGGTAATAGTCACAATGAGTTATGACCTTTTTACACACAATTCTGTAATATATATGGATCACAGCTGTGACATATAGTTTGATCTTTATGATTACTGCTTTTGTTATATGTTGTTTTTGTATTTATTTTCTATTGTGTATACTCAAATCAATTCAAATCAAAAATAACTTATTAATGTAGGACATATCGCGGACATAGGCGCTTATGAATGTTAATTTTTTTTATTAATTTTTTTTACCTACGGTACTGTTACAGTTCAGTATAATGATTCAATTGAGAAGAACTGGCAAGTCAACAGATTTTTTTTTATAAGCTAGTTTATTCACATTGTGTACTTATGTAGGTGTCTATGTGTAACATTAAATGAAAATCCAGTACATGAATTACTATTGCTATGTACGTTTGTTATTTAAGTAATTGAACCTCGGTGATCTAGCGGTCTAGCACACCGCTTTACGACCGATGGTCGCGGGTTCGATTCCTCGCACGGCACAAACAATTGTATTCATGAGTGCGATTGTTTGTATCGGTCTGGGTGTTTTCAATGTATAATATGTATGTATTTACAAAAAAAATATCTATGTATATGTATCAGTTATCTAGTACCCATAACACAAGCTTTAGCTAGCTTAACTTGGGTCTAGATGGCGCTGTGTGAATTATCAAAAAAAAAAAAAATTTAAATACTGAGGATTCAAGTTCTGTGGATGCAAATAAAATAATTATCTGTCTAATTACCTTTCTACTTATTTAACTTGTTACAGATAACGTCCCAACATGGCGTTGTCACCCCGAAGCATTTCAATACAAGGACAATTATAAGACAATGCGGGAACAATTGGCCACGCGGCTGTACATTGAGTTCAACAAAGTTGTATTCGACAACACCCTTGAAGAGGACTTGCCCATACTGTGGGACAGTAAACTCAGGAGTACAGCTGGGTAATTAGCATTTGATTTTTTTTGTATACAGGGTGACTTTGTTTCAATTTAATTGCTTATAATTTTTTATATTTTTTTCATTACTTCCTTTATTCCTTTATTCGAAGTCTTCTTCTTTATTCGAAATTCTTTTTCCTTTATTAGAGTACAGGCTAGAACGTTTTACTGTATTATAAGAGAATATTGAAATAATTGTATAACTTTGTATTGATTTATTTTTAATGGACGATTATGAAATTGTGTGTCTGTTTTCGCTAACTATTTACGTTATCGGAGCACCAGTGGAGGCTTGTAAGATGAAAATAAAGTCAGGTCAGTTAGATAATCGTGACAAATTCACCAGGTTTATATGATGGTCCATACAGTTCCTCCACAGGGGTCAATAGTTCACATTAGTTACTATCCCCCCCCCCTGTACTTTATTGATTGTAAATGTAGGTATTGTAACTTTACTCTAATTATATACGGCAATTTTGCTACTTATTCCATCCAAATACAATTGGGGTTGGCGTAATATGTTTTTCTCTTACGTTATTCTCTATCCATATCTTGTCATATCATCTCTCACATAGTCCATCCATCTCGTTTCGGCCTTCCTCTGCCGTTACAATCATCATACGTCTACATTTATATATAACACTTATTTAATAATATTCTGTTCATTCCTACTCATTACATGCCCATACCATGACAAACTATTACTCTTCAAACTCTTTGACACTCGCGCTGCTTTTATAGTAAGTTTAAATTGTGACTGGGGGAAGTATGGATGTATATTAACACCTCGATCTGATATTCATTTCATCTTAATTTCTATTGCAGTACAACCACAAACCGTCTTCTCAAGAACTCTAAAGGTGACCGGAGAAGGACGTCAAGCGTGAAACTGTCGACAAAGGTACTTTTTTTAATGGATTTAAATGGAATGTTGCACCCGATTATGCTAACGGTTTACTCTGGCGGGGCACCAGTGAGGACGAAAAGATGCGCAAGTTAGTTAGCCCATTCGGTAAAATTCACCAGAAATTGATCATGATGGCTTCCAGGCGAAACTGCGTGGAGGCCCTGACGTGTTACATTGATAGTGTTGGGATCACCAGTCCACATTACTAACAATACCTTTCTCCCCTGATAAAGGTGCAAATGGGTGTGTCGTTTACTTTAGGGGGCATCAGTGGGATCAAGTCCGTTAGATGAGATGAGACATTCACCAGAAATTAATCATAATGGTTTCTAGGGGTACCGCGAGGATGTAAACCTGACGTGGTATGTTCCTAGCAAGGAGATCAATAGATTATAAGATGGATAAAAGGCAGTTGGCCCATCGTGAGGATTTCACCAGAAATTTGTCATGATGGTTTCCAGGGAGAACAGCGTGGAGGTCAATGTACATTGCTAGCAAAGGGATCAACAGTCCACATTACTAACAATCGCTTTCTCCCCCGACAAAGGTACTGGACACACCGCAGCGGCTTCGCGATACGCTTATCCACGAATTGTGCCACGCGGCCACGTGGCTCATCGACGGTGAACTACGGGCCGGACACGGCCCACTGTGGAAAAAATGGTAAGCCATTATTTTAACGGCCTTGATGGTTCAGTGGCTTACCACATCGCTTTACTTCCGATGGTCGCGAGTTCTATTCCTCGCAGTCCTTGTAGGGACTGGTCTGCTCTTGTAGGGACTGGTCTGCTCTTATCACTACGACTGATTTAATCTTATTGCATATTTATATTTGACCCAAAAAATTAGTGCTTGTTGGTAGTTTGTATTCACACGTTTCGACTTATGTAAACTTACAAGGATTATTTAAAAGAGCAACACACAAGTTTCTTGCTCGTTCTTCTTGTGATGAGACAGCTTTCCGAAAGAGCGGTAGATAAAAAACAAATTGTTATGACTATTCAAAAGTGCTTAAATTAAGTTTATTTGAATAAATGATTTTCTATTCTATTCGCACGGTACAAACTGTACTGATACAAGAAATCATACTCATGAAAACAAATAATAATATGTTTAGAAAGTAAAGCAGATAAAAGAAAATTGTCAATCTTATTAATATTGTAAACGCGGAAGAATATGAGTCCGAATGGATGGATGTTTGTTATTCTTTCACGCAAAAGTTACTGAATGCTTTTTAATAAAACTGCAATAATATAACTTAAGCTTAATAATAAATATACACTAATTCATCAGAATAGGATATAGACTATAAATTTCACGCGGAGGTTTGCTGGCACAGCTAGTATACAATACTTTTCCATATGAAATAATAGACAATAAAAAACAAACAATGTATTAAAAGTTGCGTCGTTCACAAGCCTCACCAATATTTTGAATTCATAATAATTTGTTTGTTGTCCATGTTTATTATTTTTTTAAATTATATTCATATATATAATTATCCAAATCAACTAGCCAACATTTTCTAATCTCATTTTTTCTTTCAATTTACAGGGCAACGCATGCGCTGCGTAAGTTTCCTGAACTAGGCGAGATATCGAGATGCCACGACATGCAGATACATTACAAATATTCGTATAAATGTACAAAATGTGGTTACAAGTAAGTTATTTATTTATTCTTTAGCAACCCGATGCATTGCTGTCACAGAAATAATCTTTACATTGTATAAAGTCCTTGCGCTATCTGTTCGCTTAGATCTTTTAACTGAATGAAATTTAATGCAGTTATTAGCAATAGATAGTGTTATAACGCGGGCTCCCAACGACGCGCCAATGTCTACTCGCCCTTCCCGCATCCGTCGCCTCTCCGCACATTTACAGAAATAAAATTCCTTTTTGCGCCGCGAGCGCAGTTCAGTCACGCGCAGATATCATTACGTAAGGAATTTACACTAATTCACGATTACGTACTCGCCAATAGTTTTGATAAAGATTTTTTTGTTTAATTAAATGTTTAAACTATTGTGTGTAATAATGTAGTTTAATAGATAGAGTTATCAAGCCGGAGCAGTAGCTAGTATAAAATAAAATAATTCTGACATCGAAATCTTCCTTACATTAATTACGAAAAATGTGTTCTTAATATAAAATTCAAAATTCAAAAATCATTTATTCATGTAGGACATTTTAGCCGCTTATGAACGTCAAGTTTTTACATTATAATTTTTTTCCCTACCGTCCAGTTCGGTATATAGATCCAATTGAGAAGAACTGGCAAGAAACTCAATTGAATTACCTTTTTTTTTAAAAGCCAGTTTATTTACAATGCTTAGGTATTTATATAGGTGTCTATGTCTAACTTTAAATGAAAATCCCGAACATGAAAACTATTGCCATGCACGCTCGTCATTCAAGTAATCGTTTAGTGAGTAATAGGCCTTGCTCAGTAAATATGATTTAACAGATGTTTTGAATTTATTTAAGGGTAATTCCATATACGTATAGGTATAAAATTTGAAATAAAAAAAATATAGTCTATTTCAGGATTTTTTTATATGTACGTGTGTTTTGCAGGTTCTTTATTTTTTACAGAAATATTGTGATCCATCTACTCCAATAATAGAAGCAATAAATCAATGCAATGAAAGAAATTAAATAATAGGATATATTTTTCTTGTAGTAAAAAAGTTTCTTATCTATGTGTTATCCAGCTACATATTATGAAGTCTAAAACACTACATATAATCTTTCTACGTTTCAGTATACAACGCCACTCGAAATCTATAGACATAACGAAGAAGTGCTGCGGATACTGCCGTGGGAGCTTCGAGCTGATCATCAATAAGAAGAAGAAGGACGGTGTAGTGGTCTCCACTCCGGCCAGGAAAGGTGGTGCGAACGATTTCGCTTTGTATGTTAAAGAGAATTATGGACAAGTGAAAGATAGTACGCGATCTCATGGCGAGGTTATGAAGTTGCTTGGTGAGCAGTTTTCTGCTAAAAAGAAATTGAATATATAAGAATTATGCCAATTTTCAGAATTAACTACAATACGAAACTAGTATTTAAAAACTGAACTACACTTTGTAACTTTGATTTTGTTTATTATCAAAATAAACAATAATTGAGACGGATTTAAAATTTACACAAAAAATTGACAATTTTCAATATAACTGAATGATTATTATTGTAATCTATTACATTTATTAAAAAAAATAATAGAATACTAAATATTTTATTAGATGCAGAATAGTAAGAATACACTTTGCGTAAGTGGTCCAAAAATTGCCAGTTGAGTAATTCCTCTTATTTTCACTCGCAATTATGTAAATATATAAAATAAGACGCTCTACATGGACCTTTAATAATATTAAAACAGTGTGAGACTAATTGTTTCAAAATTATATGAATATTTGTATAATATTTTGACATTTGTATAGGTAAGTATACATTGTTTTTATGATTATTATTAAATTGATTTGAGATTGACTCTCTTCAAGACTGATTTAGACTAATATAAAGGTATATTCGACTATTGTACTGGTTACAATGTATTTATATCAATATATAATTTATTTTTAATAATTATCATTGTTATTAATTTTATTGTAAATATAAACCATAATGACACTTTGTCTCTGTCTACTCTATAATAAGGAACATAACGTGATAATATATCGTATGTTTTTGAAACTTTCACGTTTTTGGTATAATTTATTATTGATAATTAAAACATTTGATTACGCACATTTGTTATTGTTGTTTAACAAAATTTTTGATAAATTGTTGTAATTCAATGAAATTTTATATTCAAAAGTTTTCTACATCAATTTGTCTATAAATATACACAAATATAATTTCTGCATAATATTAGTTGTCTAATATTAATTATAGATTAGTTTGATAGATCGCCTTAAATAATTTTAAAGTATTTTAAGATTTTTGTATAAAATTGTACATTATTGTGAATATTTGACTGAGTGTGAAATGTTAAATTATTTGTTTTATTTTAACATTGTCACTTAAGATTAACGTATTATTCGTAATCCTTTTACTTCTTAAAAACTGAATTGAAGAGAGTCGTTAATCGTCACCGTCCATTAATAATTTCATAAACAAATAGGATCTCAAGTACATACATAAGTAAATAGAATTGTAGGCGAAAATATACGAAGGCAAGGAAGACAAAAAAGTAATGAAAACCAAACATATTTATTGAAACACTAATGTGTAACGTCATATGCTGTGACGAGGTGCCAAGACGCTGTTATTCTCCCGATATCTCCAGAATGATAAAGCATGAAAGATACCACTGTTATCACATGATGACGTGATGTCTTAGTTGTGTATTCATGTACGGTTTTAATGGTGGAAAAGGTATTCATACATTGAACCAGACATACTCTGGTAAGATTACTAAATAAAAATCAGATTTCAATACCTTTTTTATTTATTTATACATATTACAGTTGTTTTTATTTAATGATAAAGGTACAGTCTTGAAAATATTAAAAAAAAATCATTATAATTTACAACAAACGAACGTTTTTCGTTCACATCGGATACGTCTCGGTACCACATAAGTTATTTACACTTAATGAAAAATAAACATTTTAAAATGCGTATCGATATACCGTTCGACATATCCATACATATAGTATATTTACATAGGAATTTCGTTAAGATTAGACCATTATGATTAAAGTCGCTGTTAAAAATCAAAACGATTAATTTGATGGCATATTTTTATCGTTTATAAATATTACTTAACATTTTCGTCTAATTTATACAATTATTTTTTAATATTAACTATCTAGTGCCAACATTCAATAACAACATTGTTCTGAATTCAAATTCGACATTTGCGAGATATTCTGAATTCAAATTTGACAATTGCGAGATGTTCTAAATTCAAATTTGACATTTGAGAGAGCTCTAATGTAAAGCTTCTCACAAACCGTTTTAATTACAATTTATATAATATATTTGCTGTAATGTGATTTCGGTTTAATATACTCTAGTGATAAAATAGCAAAATGGCAGGATAGGTTTCACGTTAATTCATGTTGACTAGGCAGAAATTAACGATGTTGCCATTTAAAATTCTATTACCAATATAATTATATGAGAATTCTAATGTGGTAACACTTATGACATTCAGATATATCGTTATATTATCTTAATGGTCAATGGAGAGAATATTATAAATTATATTTTTTAAATATTCGAGTCAACAGATATTATACAGTGTCACAATAGTGTTCTGATCAAAATATTCATATTTTAGTAAATTATAATTATATAATGTTATATTTATCAAATTGACAGTGAATAAAGAAATATTCATGTCAAATTATATCAAATAGATTATCTAATTCAGTACTATATACACTAAAGAAATTTGCAAATTCAGTGAAGTAAAGTGAATCTATGAAAATATTTAGTCATCGTTAAACCATATTGGACACTGTATATCAACATTAAATATATTTTCAATAAAATTTAATAGACATTCACAAGGACTGGACAAGATCAATTGAAAAAAATATAGAATTATTCACATCATTAACAGTAACATATTGAAAATCGGATCGTGTGTAGAGCCTTTAAATCTGATATAAACCTTAAACATTAACTATGGACAGATTTGTTCCAAACAAAATCATTATTCGATATCACATATAGTTAAATTGTTGTATTATGATCTAATTATATGTGGCAGTTATTTACACTGACACCACAGTAATATACTATGTTATATATAATGGCAATACCTATGGGGTTTGTTTATTTGACATTTCAAAATGACATTGACAAATCAGCTTGTTATTTCAGTATAATTATGGGTTACAAACTCCTTTGTAATGTTATTTTTCATTGTTTTCGTTAATATTTCGAATATTTTATATCAGCAGTTCGCTATATATCAAGGAAGAAGTATTTTTCAGAAATTCAACTGAAAATGGGATAGTCTTTTGGCTCCAGAATCCGATTTGAAAGATCAAAAAAGTTATGCAATTTTGTAACTAAAACAATTGCTTCAGAGTTAAAGAGAAATCTGTCAATAAAGTATTCGAAATTTAATTAAATAAAAAACAAGGAAATAACAATTCAAAGATTGTAACAATATGATTAATACGTCATCTATATATGTACAATATAATTAATATGACATATCAGATAATTTTTGTTTCTTAAATATTTTTTTTTGTAATTTTACAATGTTCATCCACATATAGACTTTATAATACTAAATAGCACAATAATGTCGATCCAATATGATATTTTCTTTGTATTTTTGGCAACTCCGTTGTGGCGATATCCTTATATCTTATACCATAACACTTAATAGGTATAATTGTGTATTATAACATGATATTTTAATTATATTGAAAATAAGCATTTCTTTTATGACAATGTCTTTTTAAAATACTTTAACCGTTAAGTCAATAATCGTATCATGATTAAATACAAGTCATTTCAAAATAAAATGGCAAAATTTAATTATTAATATTTTACTTACAATGTCCCTATAAACTAAAAAACTGGCTATTTACATAAGTGCTGTTATGTTTTGATATTCTTAAATACCGCTGCGTCATACTTAACTATACATTTACAATATCTTTACATTATTACAACGCGCGATGGCGTTGAAAGCATGAATTTGTTTTACGTATTCAAAGGTCTATTAAGAATTGCTCCAAATTGAGCAATCGCGCCTTTATCAAAAGCTAAGATTTTCTGCCGAACACGACAGTGTTATGGTAAATCAGGTTTGCGAAGGTTCGTCGTCCAGGGGCCGGAACCTAACAAAACCATTTTGAGCAACTAACATACTGTTCCCGTCTGCTTCGTTCGGATTTATTTCGTCCTGTGGTTGAGAGTACGAAGCCTCATAGCCACAGTTCTTTGGTGCCGGCTGAGGACCGCAGGGATAGTTCCTCTCATTAGGATCCTCTGTAAATCCATACAAGTCAGTAGACTTGGGTCGATCAGGGAATCCGTTGCCCTTACCTCGTTTCTGGCTACCACTCGAATTAACCATCGAAATCGACGGAGAGTTGCGACGCTGAGAATTTCTTATCTGCTGACTTGAACCTTCCCCGAAACTTCTGTTAGGATTCAGGGTTTGGATACCAGATGCGTGATACGAGGCGTTCTCTGTATTATAGTTGCCGTATTCATCAGGCATGTGCGGCTGATGGTAATGATGACCCATAGAAGAGTCATATCCCATAGTCATACAATTTTGAACTATTTTGTTTTTAGGCCTGTGCTTCTTCCGCGGATTACTATTTGTTCTGGACGATACTCGGTCATACGACATATGCTTAAAGTTATGCGAACTACGATTGGAACCTCCATTATAATTTTGGTTTTTAATATCACGGATGAAATCACTGTTGCTACCGTATTGGATAACATTATACTCGTGATCCATTGGGTCATCACCTTGTAATGACTGAATTGCTGGATCACAGTTGGAATAGTGGTCGTCTGAAGCGGATTCAATGCCGTTATACCCGGCCATGTTAGGATGATGTTTGATCAAATGGTTGGTCACACCTTGACTGGATGTGGCGTTACTAGATTCAGTTGTCGAACTGCTATGACCAGCATTGGCTATAGAACTATGGCCCGAATAGTTTTCGGTTCCTGAATTATTGTCACAATTGCCTGCTAGTGTATTCAACTGGAAACGAGGATGATCGACGGGCAAGCAACATTGATCAGACATATTAGGATGATGTCCAGCCGTCTCATATATTGGTTTCCCAGTTCTTAATGTATACGTATGAAGATTAGTGTTTGTACCACATATTGCTGGAAAGTCTGATTCAAATTGATCATTACTAGAACCAGCGGTACATGGGAATAGTCCTAAACCTGAAATCTTAGCGCCATCTGTTTTCTCTTGCTGCAGATGTGCCCCTATACCAACTTTCAAACTAATTACCCAAGAAATAAGAGCTATAATTGTAATTTCTATGAAACGTAATGTTGACTGATATCCCCATTGCAACCAGTCTAGCTTCGCCATATTAACCTGATTTATACCAAATATTCCAAATATTTGGAGTACCGCTATTAAAACAAATAGTAATGCCGTAGCCAAATTTATCTGTATAGCTTGATACAAATTCTGGTAGCTATTCACATAAGTGTGACTCTTCTTCTTAACGACAGATTTGAGCAATTTATATACATAAAGATAGCACAGCCCTAACGTGAGGCATGCCATGATAAATATAATTTGGCAAGTTAGACCTAGTACCCTTTTTTCGACCCCACTCGGAGTTCTGTACACTGTATTACTATTTTCAAAGATATGCAACATCATACAGGACAACACGTGGAGTGTTCCACCTATTATAATAGTCCGCGGACGAAACAGAAAAGAACAACATGTGTTCTTTGAATTAATGGCTTGTGACAAAAGGAACAGCGTCGTGCTTGCGAATGCAATGCTCAAGAAAATATCCGGCACATGCAGCAAGATTTCGCTAATGAAAATTGGCAACGAATTGTTAATATTATAAGGGTCGTAGCACATGAAGAAGATCCTCATTAAGCAGACGAACACTAACTGTAAATGTAAAATTATAAAATAGTATTGTGCAAATAAATGCGTGAACCTATCATAGAATATGATCTTAAATATAGAATATACAGCTAATAATGTAAATATAGCGGTTGCTAAATAAATATGAACGTTCCATGCGAACGGCCAGCTCACACCGGCCCTTTGTACTGGTCCACTATTCTTGGAATCCTGTTTCAATATTTTTTTATCAGAATTAACATTAGCTAGATTGTGGTATCTCTCAGTCGACATTTCAGGATCACGCAATTCAAAACCAATTGTAGTTGCTGGAGTGTACATATCATCTTTTCTACTATCATTCTTATCTGTCTGTCTGTTGGTTGCATACTGAAGATTTCTTCTGGTGTTCGTTTCACCATTTTGATCGATGACTAGTGGTCTATCTAGATTGTTCATTTCGGGATCTAGTACAGCTAAAACTGATCCTTCTGTGGATGTATCTCTGTTACTTTCGCTTAGAGTCACTCCAGCGTCTTTGGTGACGTAAATGTCACTTTTGGATGTTTTTTCTTGATTATGCTGCGGTTTTGCGGTTACCGTTCTGAGAAGGACGTCAGGTATGTCCTCTTTACGTCCGTTGGAGCCGGATAGTATTCTTGATATGGTCGGTATGTTGAGGGAGTTTGGAACGAAATCCGTGAAGTTTGCTTGGTCTGTATGCTTCACGTCCCCGTCTAGTTCTTCAGGCTGAAAAAGGAATAGCATTTGATAAGTAATCATAATATACCTTTAGGTATATAATCTTAGTTGGGATAGCCAGAAACATTGTCAAATGGTAACGTTGTGAAGGCGACACTTGACATGCCCATATTTCGCAAGATATATTTGAATGCAACGTAAAAAGTCAGTCAAAAATATAAATTGACACATATTTTGGTGTTGGCCAGATTTCAGCGATAGGGACAGCTCATTCAACTAATCTAAGAAAATATAATTTTATTACTTCCGTTATAATGTAGGTGGATTGACTAACAAATGTAGAAGTTACAATAAAACAAAGTAAATATCTCTAATTACGGAAAAGTTACATAATTCCGAAGTTACTGAAACTCGAATCATGTATAATTTGTGAAGTTATCGTATCTTTTATTAGCGATTACCAACCTTATGACTTGGGGTGTTGAGTGCCTTTTTCTTTTGCGGCTCAATGCCCGCAGGAAGTAGCGGCGGAGCGGGGGGCGGCGCCGGCACTTGAGGCGAGGACGTCTCCTGAAATTGGGGAACGATGTTTCAAGTACATCCAGAGATTAGGCCCTACGTATGAGTACGATTGATTTTCCTGAATATTTTTACATATTACAAAGCGAATGGAAGGAAACTGTGCCTTATTTACAAGTACATAAGATGTGTTTTCCGTTGAAACACTTGTACTAATGATTGCACTTAATGTTTCGAGTATTGTAATAAATATACGTATTTATTAGAAATAAGAGTGTTCTGGGAACAATATTAATGAGTAAATTACATTACATTATATGATAAAGTATGTATGAAGTATTATTAATTAATAAGAGATTTGTCTGTCTGCCACGTATTGAAGAAATAAGTGCTCAAGATAGATTTGCACAACTTTGTCTACGTTACCCACGTAGACAAACACGTTGTGTTTGAAGAGTACAGTGATTCTAACTGTACAAAAATTCTTTTATTTCAAAAATTATCTCATATATTTATCGAAATATATATATTCGACGACCTCGGTGGCCTAGCGGTTTAGCACACCGCTTTAATGTTCGCGAGTTCGATTCCTCGCACTGTGCAAACATTTCTATTCATGAGTATGATTGCTTATATCGGTCTGGATGTTTTCTATGCATATTACGTATGTATTTACAAAAAAAATCTAAGTATTTATGTCAGTTGTCCAGTACTTATAACACAAGCTCTGCTTACCATGGGACTAGATGGCGCTATGTTAATTGTCCATGAGTTTATTATTATTATTTTACTAGTAGTACTTGTAACTAATATTTTTAGTAATAAATTACTTCGTGATCCTATCAAAACCTACGTAGCATGTTCTTTATAATTTTGTTGGCCATAAATCTAAAATCTATTAGTGTTTACCTGTCCAGGGGGTCGGATGGGGATCCTTTCATGTCCCGGGCCGAGGGACGGAGGGGGGATGGGCCGCCGGTTGAGATAATTGTTCCCATCCGTATTGGTGCCTGGAAAATAATAGGGTAGGTTTAATTATTAAATTATATATTTATATCTGAAATATTAACATGTAATATTTAATATCCTAATTATTATTATGTAGCAGTATCACGTAGTGCTTTAATTGGAAATTATAATGGTCGCAGGTTCGATTATTTCACGATACAAGCCTCGGTGGTCCAGCTGTTTAGCACATCGCTTTTTTTCCGATGATCGCGGTTTCGCGTCCTCGCACGGTACAAAAATTTGTATTCATGAGTATAATTGTTTATGTCGGTCTGGATGTTTTTTATGTATTTCATTATTGTATTTACAAAAAAAATTTGCTTAGCTTGTGACTAAATGGCGTTGTGTGAATTGCACAGGAATATTATTATTATTATATAGAATTTCTAGAACATTTTCATTTCTACATTACCTCTGAGTGTAGGCTTGTCTGCAAACGGGTTTCTATATTCAGGGGGTAGTGGTGGTGTGAAGAATGCCCGGCCGGGTGGAGCGTACGAGGGTACCGCGCCGCCCACCCCTGCAAGCAACGCCGCGCCATGATGCTGTGGTGGCCTGTGAGACAAACAAATAACACTACATCAGAACAACATTAAAATAACCTTATCATAGTGATATTTTTTTATATTATTTACTAGCTACTCGTCCCGGCTTCGCCCGGGTGTACATGTATTACATATATATACCTCCCTCTTGAATCACTCTATCTATTAAAAAAAAAAGATTTAAGCATACATAGGCACAGACAGCGACAGCGACTTTTTTATACTATGTAATGATATTAATACAGTTTGAGAAGGCAAGGATTCTGTATATATATAGTCAGTCAAGAATGAGTAAAAGAGATGCAATGTTCGAGCAGTAGGCAAACACGCTGACCGTCCACCTGATGGTAAGTGGTAATTGTAGCCATGATGATGTTAGAGACGGAATTATTTACCTATGTTAGAAAACACTGCTGATAGATGAAAACAGTTGAGTGGTTTTTGCGAACATACAGACCGACGTTTCGCGAAACTTTATTCTATTAGTATTCTATTATTTTTATATATGTAATAGTTTATATGAATAACTGTCAATATGTAAAATTGGTGTCAATAAAAATTATTATTATTTGTATTTATCGGAGGAAGGAGATTATTAGTAATAGGGACTAAAGGTCATACTGCTAGCAATGCACCATGTCAGGTCGACCTCCACGCGGATCCCCTGGAATTTACAGTGATTAATTCCTTTTGAATTCACCACTATGGACTGTTCTTTTTATGTATATTATGAGTGTATTTAAAAATAATATTTAAGTATTTATATCAGTTCCTTAGTATATAAAACAAGTTTTGCTTAGCTTGGGAAATAGGTAAGAACTTTGTACCCATTTTTACAATAATTGTGTGAACGGAGGAGTTAGGTATTGGGCTACTACTAGTATATATAATTACTAGCTGTCCCGGCAACCGTTGTTTTGCCTTAAAATAAAAAAAAATTAGGGGTGGACTACCCGTAACATTTAGGGGGATGAAAAATAGATGTTGGCCGATCATATCAGATCAGACCTATTCAATACGCTCACAAAATTTCATGAGAATCGGTCAAGCCGTTTCGGAGGAGTATGGGAACGAAAACTGTGACACGAGAATTTTATATATAAGATAAACAAACGTGATGAAATTGAAAAACGAACCACTTCACTGAATTTGAAATTAAAGTTGTTATGTACGCGATATCATTTATGCAAGACAATTCTACGAATAAACTACAAAGGAATCCAACATACATTATGTTTGTATTATATAGCGCGGGTTTAGAATGCGCGTTGGTTCCAGTTGTGTTTACTGCCGACAATAGAATGCAAATCTGTTTAGCATCGTTTTATTGAAATATTTTGCCTCATTGAACTGCAATATATATATATATATATGGAAGAGAATTCTAGTATATTATTGTGGAAAGTACAATTGATTTATTTATATCTTTAGTACATATCTACAGGGCGCGTGAGAACGACGTGGTGTAGTGTATACCTACTACTTAAATATACCCAAAAAGGTAGTGAATTCAAATATTAGACAATCCATGTCATGACATTAAAATCCTTCAAAGTCGGGACGGACCTCTAGTATATTTAAGTATATTTAAAACTAGCTGTGTTAACTTCGTTCGCGTGGTTATCAAAAACATCGCGATTAACTTTGAAAATTTTAAAATTTCAAATATAATTTTCCCCGTTTTTGAAACATTTTTCACTGATGCTTCGCCTCTATTGGTCGTAGCGTAATGTTATATAGCTTAAAGCCTTCCTCGACAAATGAACTATCCGACATAAAAATTATGATTAAATTCGAACCAGTAGTTCCTGATATTAGCGCATTTAATCAAACCAACTCTTTAGTTTTATAATATTATTATATTATATTATTAGTATAGATTGACTTAGTAAGGTCGTTGACATAAAAAAACACCGTAACAATCATGTGATTACGCGACTAATCCAAAATCGAAATTATCGTGTCGCGATTTTTTTAATGTCGTCGACCTATACGTGTACGACCAGTTTATAATGACACGTTAGATAGTACATCAGGTATGAGCGGAGGTGTCTAGTGGATTGTCATCAGTCTAGTATGGAAATGATAAACATTGGCACTATGCCCGCATGTTTTGTTAGTCAGCCCGCTTTATTTTCAGTACTCATACCGCATTTTAATGATCTCAGCATGTACAGTAGAAAAACAATAAAGAAACAGCTTTTAGTGTTGTTTTATGTATATTTAAATTTACTTTCATCAGGTGGAAAGGTGACTAGTCATGTGGGCTAACCCCGTTGCTTACGTTGCGTACCATGTCAGGTTGACCTCCACACGGTACCTCCTAGACATCATCCTGACAAGTTCTTGGAGAATTTTTTAAATGGGCTAACTGACTTCATGCTCAATTTTGTCATCAATAAAAAAATATCTCAGTATGTACAGTAGGAAAACAATACATAAACGAGAGCTATTAGTGCTATTAGTGATGTACATAAAGATGTACATCTTTAAATCTACTTTCATCTATTAAAACACCTCAAAAATAACTAGAAAGTACAATAATTTGACTATAGTCCACGGTTGCATTTTTATTAACTTTTATATTTCTTTGTATACATAGTAGTTACTATCAGCCAATAGATGGCGTTAGAAAACAATATTAAGTATAATTAAAAACATAATTCATAATAAATAATTACTATATATGTATATAACAATTTTCTACAGTTATATCATCAATATAAATTATATTAATTTGTTTATGAAAGTAATACTTTTAGTAAGAAAAAAAAGGAACTTATTCCAATTCTCCTTCTACTCGTCGCTAGATGGCGCTAGCATGAATATATGATGACGCAATGCGTACAAAATTATTGTCTCGAATCTGAAGATTTTCTCAGAACCAAACATTGTTTTCAACCATCTTTATAAAGGAAGAAATTTCCAGTTTCATTATGTAAGTATATCTTATTTTATCTTTGATTTTAAACCGATTTTTATGCTTCTTTTTTATTCAGCCGTAATGGCCTCTCAGTATAATTCCGTACTATATTTTTTTGTCAATCTTGAATCTAAATCTAAGTATACTACAAAATATGTTTTGATACTAAACATCAAAGTCAAATTTTAATACTCAAAAGGAATTTACTATTAACTGCAATAAACACTTACTACATACATTAGATATTAACTATAAAAATTGTCTCATATGATATAAAGCACATGTATAGACTATGTATAATTAATTATTATATCAATTAAAAAAATGGATATTATCTATGGTTGACTGAATATACCGTATGGTGTTAAGTCCGCCAGAATTGTTACTTTTTGTATTGTGTGCATTAAAGTTATAAATAAACGTAAGATACTAATTCAAAATGGCTGATTATTTTCGCGGCAATAATTTCAATTGAAATTGAGTTGTGATGTATAGATTATACAGATTATTAGTAAAATATTATAAACGCGAAAGTTTGTAAACATGGATGGTTGTTTGACGCAAATTCTACTAAACGGATTTTGATGAAACATTACAGCAATATAGCTTATATATATATAGCGACATACAGACAGATTTACTTTCGCATTTGTAATATTAATAAGGATAGCTAACAACGTGTAAATCCGCGGGGCACATATGGTTTAAGGATATGTGCTTATTCTAGCGCGGAATTACATTATAATCACGTTACAATCCACCGATGGATTAAAACAAATGTATATTTAAAATGTTTATTGATCAAACACACCGAAATGGTAGGTTATTATGGAAGAAATTGGGAAACATATATTATATGCAATTTATAACATGAATTCTCATGTTTATGAGACAGGCTAGTGATCTAGTGGTTTAGGTCACCGACTCACTACCGATGGTCGCGGGTTCGATTTTCGATTTGCACAGTACGAACATTTATATTCATCAGTATGATTATTTATATTGATTTGTATAATACACAGCAATATGAATACAAATGTTTGCATCGTGTGAGGAATCGAACCCGCGACGAAAGAAGTAAGGCGTGCTAAATCGCTAGACATCGAGACCATCAGATATTTTTTTTTTTACGTAACGACCGATCTTTATTATATTATAATAAAAAAATGTATTACTTGTATGTACTTAAGTATATACGCTATTTGATTTTTGTGTCCCACAAGAAAAAGTAATCCGATTTATTTCATATCAATTATTCATCTAAATGACATTATTTTTACATCTGTAATGATATAGGCCCGAAGATTTTTTTTTGCGTTTTATATTATGTATCTTCAAATTCAAATACATAGAGAACTCCATCATCCATTCACCATCTAATTATATCATCATCATTTCATCATTTATTCTCTATATTATAATATTAATTATTTTTTGTATTATATTTTTTTCTCTACCGTATTCATATCGAATTGTCCGAAATATTATTTGTTTCTTAATTTATTGGTCTCACTTCTTAGAAGGTTGATTAACTCATTACCACGTATAGTTTCGTAAAACAGATTGATACGATCAAAATCTTCGTGATTATGTTACATGATCATCAAAGCACGATTTTAAGATGAAAAAGTAGTGGTAATTTCAAAACATAAACCACATTTTTAGCAAATGTGTGGCAATAACGTCTGTTTCACATCGCATGCCCTCGTTTTTTTCACATATACATTTTCACTAACATATTCACAATTAGTTTTATTTTTTTAACTCTTCATTAACTTTTCGACTGGTTGATGATATTGCTTAGTCCAGTTTGGAATTGCTTATACAGTTAGTGTACTAATGTTGTATTTTTTTTTTATTTGATGATAATAGTGATGCTGAACAGTGATGAGTATAGATAGATGAATTTGTTGATGCTTGTCACTTTTTCAAGTAAAAAGAACTGCACGGATTTTGATCATTCTTTACAGTCATATAATATACATTAGAATAACACACACACTATAAATTTCACGCGGATGAAACTGTGGGCATAGCTAGTTTATATATATTCATAGTAATTCATACTAATTATAAATGCGTGTATAAGTGTATCTGTCTCTATCTAACTTTTTTAATGCAATTTGGTATTATGAACATATGATATATTTTATTTAAATAAAAATCGACGAATTTAATACTTTAAGTAGCCCCGCGAGTCACTTGTCTCTTGTACCAAACGACACATTGTGGATTTGTATCAACATTTTGACAGCGGCGAATTAATGTTTCAATCATCCTTAGATGAGCATAACTCAACCCTCTGAAGCCCAACAATCTGCGTGCCATTGTCTGTGACGTCCCAAACACACTGTTTTATTCTGACTCGTTTTATTTTTGATAAAATCGTTGGCATTATAATACATTGTTTTATTCTGAGTATTTTTATTTTTAATAAAATCCGAAGTACCTACTCTTTGGCATTATCAGACAAATAAGTTAATATGACGATGTCAAAAAAGCCGAATGTTCAATTTGTTTTTGAATAGAAATTATCTTTTGACGAACTCCGTGGTCTAGCTGTTTAGCACACGGCTTTACTTCTGAGGGTTGCGGATTCCTCGCATGGTACAAACATTTGTATTCAAAAGTATAATTGTTTATATCGTATATTATGGTTATATTTAAAAATATTCTAAGTATTTACATCAGTTCTCTAGTAACCTCAATGCAAGATTTACTTAGCTTGGGACTAGATGGCGCTGTATAAATTGCCCAGGCTAGACTAAAACACCCTTAATGTATGCTAATAAAATAAAAAATATATATTACATGAAATGTATACCTACTTGAAAAGATTTATTTATCGACCAGGTTTTAGGTATTATTATGTAAGTGGAAAATCCAATTTGCTTGTATAAATTTTTATTCAAATTTACGTAAGTAACATAACATACCTACTTTCTGCTCTCAAAGGTGAAAGATGAAAGAAGTTTTCGATGCAAATATATCGGAGCAGATTTCAATAAAATATGTTAGTTTAGTTTTCTTTCTTATTACATTTCGGATATTTTATTTTAGGAACTATATTTACACTAGTCTTTTTCCACGGCTTCTTTCACGTGATAAGAGCCTAGTTAACTACCATACACATGGGGAAAGGGGATTGTTAGTAATGTGGACAGAATACCTCATTGCTAGTAGTGTACCATATTAGGTTGACCTCCACGTGGTAACCACCCTGGAAAACAGCATGTTAAAATCCTGGTGAATTTGTCGCAATGGGGTAACTGACCTGACCTGCTCATCTAATCATCCTTCACTGGTGTCTCGCCAGCATAAACCGTTCCTGCAGGCTGGTGCACCATTCCATTATCATCAATTAAAAAAAAAACTATCGTCCATGTGACGCTTATCTTGACGTCAAATTTCATTAAGAACCGATTAGTCGTTTAATCCCGAAACCAGACTGATATAATTTGATATTTATAACATTACGAACACTCACTTTTTTAATTTGGTTAAAACAGAACTATTTGCAAACTCAACCTCAGTGTAAAGTTAGGAATCAGATTATCACGACTTCAGCGGTCGTGTCGTAGACAGTGGCAACAATATTTGCATAATAACAGTAACTGCAGACAGTTTAACTTGTAAAGATGATCACGGTTTAAGAGTCACGTATTTTATTAAAACTTGAGAAATTTGTGAAGGAAAGCCGCAAATAAAGGATTTACTGGGCAACTATTTGTTTACTCAGACTTTGCCTGCGATTTATAGTTAACTTTGCCGTTTAATTTTCATTTTAGCGAGATATTTTGAAAATCCTTTAATATATTAATAACCCTGAACAATTTAAACAAAGTTATTTACTCCCAAGCCAATATAATTTACCCCGAGTTTCTAGTAGTTCTAAATAGTACAATACAAATTTGTGTGAATTGCGAACAGCACATATAAATACATACATAATGACAGAACTTTCGATTTCAAAACATCGTTTGTTTTCAACTGCGTAATCATCAACATAATCAGCGCGCAGGTCACCGATCAATTCAGTTCCATTGTACGAGAACAAAAACTGTTGAAAACTTCTCTGTACCCACAAAGACGCGAATCACGTAATGAACAAGTTGAATTCTGTATGCCATTTAAAGTTGTCGAATGAAACTTCAGGAGCCCGTGATTGATCGAACGCCGAGCGAGATTCTTCGGGATTTCTTCGCTGTCCTATTCTCCGTGGCCTTATTGTTTATTCCATTGGATTTTGTATTTCTTTGGCATGTCTTTCAATCAATTATCTTGGTATATGTACTCTTATAAATTATTCTATATTTATAAATATGACCAGCGACCCGTCTCGACTTCGCACGGATGTATTACAAGTCTTTGAATTTCTCGGTTTGTTCTATACTATGACGCATGTACTATACATATACACCTTTCTCTTGAATCTCACTATCTATTACTGAAAACTGCATTAAAACCTCTACGGTATTAAAGACTTCATCAAATTAATCAAATTTAATTTTTTACTGGCTTAATAATAAAAGTAAGTAAACTAAGTTACATATCCAAAGCTTGTCTTGTAAAAATGGGAGTACCTCAGGGGCTTATACTAGGTCTCTTTTACTTTTATTTATATTTTAAGACACTATTCGTATTGAACGACTTTAGTTTCAACCATGAGGAAAATAATATAAATCTAATGGACCGCTACAAAATGATAACTGATACGCAAACCAAATATTCGCAATGATAACCGATAGATAACAAATGACCTTCAAAACGATAGATTTATTTGCATAAATCGTTTAACGGTTACAGATAAAACGAAAAACGTTACTAATAAAGTTAGTAAAGTAAGTTATAATATTACCATTTTACCACTGCGATTGTCAATCAACCCGCACTCGGTAGTAATCTAGCGTGCTAAAGGATTTACGGTTATTTAAGGGCTGCGCAGAAGAGTGACTAGTCCGCTGAATACAAAATTGACGCATATACCGAAGTGTTTCGGTACAAAATTGTCTGCTTAGATACTGTACCTGTGTACTTGCTTTGTAAGTTGTACGTTGGTTTAAAGGGTGATATGGCAATGAAATTATAGGTTAAGAGGATACGGAGTTAGCAACTCTAGAATGATGAGGGATTTCTTTTTTTATGTAAGCCCTTAAATAATGGCAAATAAGCTTAGTGCTCACCAACGTAAAGTGGTAGTGTAGTTTTTTTAATGAATAAATACGAATGGTGGACCTCGACCTTACATGGTATATCGATAAGAATCGGGCTATTAGTCATATTACTAACTAACAGCTCTACTCCATCCTACATACAAGTAAAAAGAAATGTCAATAACCAAAAAGTAACTACGATTCCAGTTTGATCACATTTGAATTGCGTCGTGTGTTTTAGGCTTAACGGATGTGGCGGATTTAAGCACTCGGATGAAATCAAACATTTTACAGAAGTATATAAAACCGGTATTTAAGTTTAGGGTCTTTCCTGTTTACGAGAATAATTTAGGACTCTAAAGAGATCTCATTTGGAAGCTAAAGTAGGATTCGCCGGCATGATTTCGGGATAACGAGTTTATAAAGTGAAAATGATTGTTATTTTAAATGATTAGCCGGGTTTTTTGGGGTTTCCATTAAGCTTTTAATAAACCCTAAGGGTTTATGGGTAATTATAATCGATACGTGTTTGTTTAGTATACGAACGGACCATCGGTTTAGTGATTAATTAGGGTTTTCAATTACCAAAATGTTATTACATTTTCTTGACACTATCACGAACAGCAAACAAGTTGACGACATAAATAACTCTATTGATACCATGGAATATGAAATGTTAATTTAATATATAAGAATATACATATATATAGTACATATGTACATCAACTTTATTTAAATATAGGGATAATTTTCAGATTTTGAATTAATTTTTAGTACACAAAATGTAAAATACTCGATTAGTTGTTTGTTAAATTCGAACAGATTTATAATTATATATTAATATCAACTTATATGTACCTAATATACTCATCTATAAATATATTTAATTTTTATTATATATATATATATTCGCATCGGTATAGTGTATGACATAGATATATGTCATACACTAAACCGATGCGAATATGACTAAAAGGTTACTTATATAGTAATGGATAAGTTAATAAAAAGGATTTACGTTTTTACTACGTACTAAATGTGTCACGATTTAAATCGACTTTTTCTGAATCGAATATTTTATTTAATTGCAACCTCAACTGTTAGTCATGTTTAAATCGATTAAGTTTTCGCAGAAAAATCGTTAACATTCGATTACGCCGTATGGAGTACCATAGAGTAATGCAGATTATCACCATCGTTAAATTATTAATGGCTTTCCTGAGAATTCCATGAGAAAATATAGTAAGTTTTGCATATTGCTGATTCATGAATTTCATAGTGTAGAGTGCAAATACATACATAGTTATTTTTATATTGATATGACTAATTATTTATTGAGATCCATTATAATATTTATAATATAAATGTCAGGTTTACCTCCACGAGGTTCTCCCTAGAAACCATCGTGATAAATTCATGGTAAATTTACTACGATGGGCTAACTGACCTGACCTCGTGATCATCTTATCATCCGCCACTGGCCCCGCCAGCGTAAACCGTTAGCGCAGGCGGGTGCACCATTACATTATCATCCATAAAAAAAATTAGACCCTTTAGGGTATAGTGCTTACCTGGGCTTGTGGTACGTTGGGTTGCTGTTTGTCTTGAGGATATCCGCGTTGGGTACTGACGTCGGCAGGGCGTGTTCCTTCTCCAACTCACTCTCATAGCTCTCTAGCGGCACGTGCTTGCCGGGAAGAGGATCGGCTGCAACAAAAAAAAAAAACTATTACAATCTGAACTAACGGGGCACATCGAGGCAGTGTACCAAAGATACTGGCAGCGTTGCCTCTTTATAAGGCTACACTTAACCTCTGGCCAAAGTAGCTACCAGCTCTCGGGTCACAAGTAACATTGATGAGCGCGAAATAGTTCTCAAAAAAGTTTACTTGAATAAAGAATATTCTATTCACTATCACGACCTCGGTGGTCTAGGCAGTTTAGGTTATATAACACTGTTTTACATTAGGTGGTCGCGGGTTCGATTCCTCGCACGGCACAAACATTTGTATTCATGAGTATGATTGTTTGTATCGGTCTGAGTATTTTCTTATATTAAGTATGTATTTAGAAAAAAAAGTATCTCTATGTATTTATAACAGTTGTCTAGTAACCATAACACAAGCTCTGCTTAGTTTGGGACTAGACGGCGATGTGTGAATTGTCCTGAAATGTTTCTATTATAATTCCATTCTTCAGTCAGGCAATGATTTCATGTCACTTTAATTTAGGATAAATTTAATAAACTAAATTACTAGGATAAAAAATGTACTTTATTTTAGAGCTGGCAACTGCTCCAAATGGCCGGGGATGTTTACATTTAAATAGCATCAAAGTATCTCATCTCTAAACGAGAACAGTAATACAATCAGCCGTAATAGATGAAAGGCAATAGAGCTATGCAATACAGCCGGATAAAACATATACACTAGCTGTTAGCCGCGACTTCGTTTCGATTTTTAGATAAAAATTAGACTATGTCTGTCCTAGTGATTCAAACTATCTTCATATCAAGTTTCGTTAAGTTCAATTAAGCTGTTTCAGTCGTGAAATGTAAGATACAAACAGACAGATCTAGAAAAATAATAATAATATCCTTGAACATTTTAAAGCTTATTTTTGTTCAGTATTCTAGAATGTTATTATTACATATATTATTATTTTAGATACTGCTGCTTTTAGTTTGAGACTAGATGGCGCTGTGTGAAATATAACACAGTGACTGAATTTTTCACAATATGTGGTAGCATTACTACATATTTTCAATTTACCCGCAAATATCTAATATTATATTAATTAATTAATTATTTATCAATTACCTGAGAAATTCTTAGTACTAGATCCTAATCAAATTCAAATTCAAAAATCATTTATTCATGTAGGACATTTTAGCTGCTTATGAACGTCAAATAACGTTTATATTATACTGGCTGTACTCGCGACTTCGTCCGCGTGGAATTTAACTAAAGTAAAAGAATTTTTCTAAAGTAAAAGTAGCCTAAGTTACTCCTTATTAGATCAACTACCTGCCAATAAAAGTCCCATCAAAATCGGTCCAGCCACTTCAGAGATTAGCCGAAACAAACAGGCAGACAGACAGATAAACATTGTAAAAAATCATATTTTGGTATATGTACCGTATTTATATTCATATGCATGTAGTAAAAAACTGTTATTTCAATATTACGAACAGACACTCCAATTTTATTTATATGTAAGTATGGATGTATACATATTTTTGTCCCTAGCGTCCAGTCTAGATGGAATTCGGGATCTAAGAATTTATCAAAATATTATTCTTAGTTTTCTTTTTAATGTACGCTACTTTTCTGAGGCGAAGACATTCCGCTTGCTAAGATTTGTGTAGAAAGTGCCATGCGTGTAACATGAAGCCCCGTTTCGCGTTACAAAATCAACTATTTGCGATTCTCACAGGCTATCAAATTCAAAGTTCACCAGAACGAGATAAAAGCTATTGTTCTTAAAATGCGATAGTGTTTTGTTGCTCCGATAGGTAGGTAGATACGTGTAAACTTCGCTAGTCTTTGTTCTGTGACCCACTTTGTGATTTTGACGTCTCTATGTGCGTAGTTGCTCTGTACTGGACCGGTGAAAGCGTACATTTTTAGGGTTCCCGCATTGGAATTGTAAAACGGAACCGTTATGATGCGACTTGGTCCTTTCATCACAGACATAATGTTCCTCATTTGAAATAGTTTAATTAATTTTACATCTACCGTCATGGGTTGTCAGTTGCGACAAGTCATTTATGGTTCAGAAACTAGTAAAAGGACTGGGGGCTTAAAATTGATAAGTTTTAAAAAAAAAGAATATATTCTACATTGGTTGGTAAATTATTTTAGAATTTGCCTAAGATTTAAAAAAAAATCTGCTATAGTATACAGTCTACACTTAGGAAATTTTCATTACATTTACTAGTTTTTTTGTATCTATTTAATACCTACATACGACTTTTGTATTATCACCTCATTCCTATTGTTAGCGCAACCTACTTATATCAATTATCACATAAACAAATACATATTTGTGGGGGGAAGGAGATTGTAAGCAATTTGGATTATTGACCCCAATTCTAGCATATACTATCAGTCAGTTTTACCTCCACGCGGTTCTCCCTGGAAACCATCATGGAAAACCATCATTCCTGTTGAATTTGTCACTCCTAACTGCCACAACCCCGATAGCATAAACCGTTATTGCAGGCGGATACACCATTCCATTATCATACAAAAAAAATACAATATTTGTTGAGAACCCTCAATATGCGTCCGACTCACAATTTACCCGTTTTTTTGACAGATTGATGTGACGCAATCTATTTTTGAAACATGTTCTTTTTTCAAATTTTGAATTGTTCACGAATTCCAAGAAAATTAAATGTTGACGCTTGCTTCCGCCCAACGGGCGGTTGTCCGTTCCCTAATAAGGTTTATGACAGCGTAATATAATAATAATGAAGATCAAGAATACATTTATTAGCAGGTTCTTGTTATAATGAAATTTAGTCGAGCGTTTTGCAATATTTACTATGGCGTATTGTACAAAGGAAAAGCGAGTTAATACCTACTAGTCATACTGTTCACAATAAAAAATAAATCTATTCTATTCGAAATTTAAACTTTTTCGAATTTAATACAGGATCTATAATTAGGTGAAAAAAGTCTAACAGTTTCCCGCGTTATTGAAAACTTTTTTAAAAATACAAATATATTTTATGCTTCAGTAAGCATCGAAGAAGTTAGTGTATGTATGATAGACTTAAAATAAAAATATATAATATACTAGTTATGTCCCATAGTTTCAGCCGCCGTTTTATTTACAAGAACTAGCAACCTCCTTGTCCCATAACCAACCATTGTAGTGTCGCGCCAACCGTATATAGTTATTTTTTCTTTAGCTTTCATGTTAATTTTTTATTTTTATACATAACTTCAGAGATATAGCGTAATGTTTAAAGTTAACTATAATCTATTTAAAGGGGCTAGTTTTTTATGCAACGTCTAGTAATTCAATACATTAACGCGTTCAAACAACCAAACTCTTCAGCTTTATATCAGTATAGAAGTATTAATCGCCGCCATTAATTTTTTTACCGCCAATTTTTTAAATATCGAATCACAGATTCCCGCCAAAAATCGAACACAAAGAACCAATGACAAGTCACTCACGAATTCACGATTTCGATTATTTAATAAAATGAGCGTGTTTAGAAAAAAACCTGCTGACGGGCAACAAAAAACGACAATAGAAAATCTCGTACCGACTTCCTTATAATGTCGACGTAATCCCTCCCTTTTTAATACTAATAAAATGAGGAGGGAACCATGTAACGTTTATAGGCTGTGAAAAATCTGAAATTATATTGCTACAAGTACCTACTTACTATAAAGTAGATGTTTACAAGAGCTATAGAAATAGATGTTACAATGTTTTTTTACCCAACTACGATGAAATAAAAAGGAGGGTTGTGAACTTAACAAACACATGGCGAAAATGACCTTAGCTGAACAAAACTGCAGATTTTGCCGAGCAGAAAAGGCAACGCCACTCATCCTATGTGGTTGTAGCCTAGTCATGCATAAACGAAATATCTCCTTTGGAAAGTATACACTCTATCCTAAGGAGATAACAACCATCGCTCCTAAGAACTCTTCAATTCTTTTCTTTGGTCTAGGCAATGAACTTTAAAAAAAGGGCGAACACAATAGATGTGCGGGTTGCAGTATTACAGGTCCAAAACGTTTTAGCACACCATCTTACTTCCGATGGTCGGGTTTGATTTCTCTCAGATTACAAACATATATATATATAAGTGTATTAGTGTAATTGTTTGTATGTATCTGTCTGAATGTTTTCTATGTATCTATCAATATATACGTTAGAGATTTTTTTTTGTGTTGGTCAGACTCGAACTGATGACCCTTGAGGACTTTTTAATACGGGATCTGATACTCACTTAAAAACAACATAAAAGATTGCAAAACGCAAGGAAACTAAAACGAAAAACGATGATTTCCGAATAACTAGAAAAAAGACAAAAAATACAATAATCGGTAATAGATATTGGTTCTTATACTTTTGCGGTTAAGTGAATCAGTTGTTGATGAGTCAATCTTTATAGGAATCAGGTAGTTACTTTTTGTACTGCAGTTAACAAACGTAGGTGTGAATTGCTATAAAAAGTTTTCAACAGTATCGGGTCGAACTTGCATACCTGGTCATTTAGGTTAGTTATAGTGTGACTGTAATTACTGAGTCATGATACAATATGTAGTTTTTATTATAAACACTTTTTTATTATGCACATTGTGTACCTACTTATGTGTCTATATTAATAATTTGAACGTATTACTCAAGTAATAAGGGAGATATATGAAACATATATAAAAGAATAATAATAAATACCAGGTGCACATTGAGTTTTATTATTATTATTACCCCCGGAAAATTAACACAGCGCCATCTAGTCCCACGGTAAGCAGATCTTGTGTTATGGGTACTAGACTACTGATATAAATACTTTTTTTTGTTATATATACATCTATACATAATAATATAATTTTATTTAAAATTGGACTGTCTGTTTGTAATATTGAAATAACCGTTTTTTACTACATGCATATGAATATAAATACGGTACATACACCAAAATAACATTTTTTACAATTTTTGTCTGTCTGTCTGTT